TCCGTCTGTTTATTGGTGTCTGTGTCTTTTTTAATTTGTTTCTCTTTCTCTCACCTGTCGGCTCATCCCAACACCCTCCGGGTAGTTGGACGTTAAGCCTTCTTGCTTACTTTTTCTTACTCTCACCTGTCAGAGGTATTTCTACATTCACTTCGGTATAAAGCAAGGGCTATAGAAAATAAATTGAAATATAACACTTACTTTTCGCTACGTATCTTAAATTTACAGATACTTTTTAATGCCACAGTAACCCGAGTTTAGTGTCAATTAATTTTTTAGTTTTTAATAGATTTTTAAGAATAAATAAACACCTAAATGAATTAAACTGAAATTTATGGATTTATCTCTTAGTCAAAGATTCTGGTTTATTGGCTGTTTTTAATGTTATTTTATGTCGTCGTTTAATGGCATTTCATCATCTCAAGTCTCATTTTCCAAGTGGCAATACAATAGACGAAAACGTTCATCGCTTACATTCGTTAAAAGGTTTAATTAAAAACCTAATCACCAACTGTTTACTGTCTATTAATTTGCACTTTTTATAAAATTGCATTTTATGTACGTCATTTTACAAATTGAGCCTATTGAGATTATTTTCTTGCAAATTTAACAACCTTGAAAAAAAATTATGGGGTCACCGTTTAACCTTTTTGTCATAGCCTTTTGGTTAAGAGGGTTTTGTACTATCTGTATATAGACAAAACACAAAAAAGATCCTACGAATCTGGATTTTTGTTTAATGTTTGATGGGCACACAGACGTGATTTTGTACTAGAATGAATTACTCGTCCTTTGCGAATCCAAGAATAAATAAAAACCTGTTTGTAAATGTAGCAGTACAAACTAGACTAAAAAACTGAGCAAAAAAATGTGTGTACATATTACCGTACTTCAACATGTTGTGATGAATAATATATATTTGTACATGTACTGGACAGTCTTCTTTCTTATTTGACGATTTTCGTTTATTCGTTGTCCAGTATTGCTTTTATCCATGTCGACAACGAGTTTTTTTGTAACTTGTAAAGTTTTTGACATTACGTCCTTATAGTATTAGAAGTACCGTGTACTAATGTATAGATAATAGGGTGTAATCGCAATCAGAGGCATAAGTTATTACAAGTTAAGTTGTGGAAACGACTCAGGCTATATAAGTTCCAAAGCCTTCTCAATATATAATTTGTTCTGTAATAAATTGTGTCGAGTTTTTCTTTTTGTGTATACTTTTTAAAATATATGAGACAAAAGAGAAACGTCCGTCCTCTTAATAATTGAAGTACCTTATTGCAGAAAATATCTAATTTATTACTTTGTATACATATTGGTGTTATTATTATTATTTTGTTCGTTTTGGGATAAAACATTTACGAGAGGAATTAAAGTTTATTAGAAGAGCGTGTTGTGTATGTGTTGGCTTTATGTTAATTTATTCGAATGAATGTAATTTATTAGCGGGAAAGGAAGGGGTTATCTAATCCTGCCTCGAGGATATCGAGTACTCTGGGGGAGTGAATATGACCAGACTTCTATGTTTCTATTGAGTGTTGTGTTTGTGTTAATTTACTGGAATGAATGTAATTTATTAGTAGGAGTAGCTTATAACCGCCCCTAGGAATATCAAGTACTCTGGGGAGGGAATGTGACCATACATTTATGTTTGTGGTGATGTATATATATGTATTGTTCTGATGTTGCTTCTATTCTGTATCGGACAACCTGAAGTACAATGCTTCCCGTATTTACTCAGAGCCCTTAAAAGAACAAGAGGATCTTTAACGTCCCTACCGGACGTTTAGATTCTCCAGATCAGAGATGACGCACCTCCGCTCATGACTGGAAGGGTGTTAACAGCCGCAAACGTTGGGGTAGAAGCCGCCTCAAACTCTCCGCTTGTCCATTCCGAGTGGATGGGGCTGTATTACGCACCAGACCGTGTGCCGCACGACAAAGGGTAACCTCAGATGGCTGAAATGCATCAGCTGGGTCGTCCCACCGGTTCCCTAGATCTATCTCTCAGAGTATTGGGGTTCCTCCAGCGTAAGAACTTCCGGATCCGCTCCGGCCGCGGTTTTGTTTAAAGTGTTATTTCTAACCACCTCCTAGAGGAACGAACACTGCCCTCGGAAGGAAACCGCGAACCCCCGAGCAACAGGTTTACTCTAAGTTCTCGCCAGGAGCATCGCCACTAAGCCACTACGAGTCCATTCTCATGTAGCAGGGTTGGACTTAGAACATTTTCTGCTACCCCGTAGTTCAGATGGTTATGCAGACAGGATCTGGTATCCTAACCCTCGTGTGCCTCTGATAATGCACCCGCCGTCCGCTGCCGACCCGGAAGCCGACACGAATCCAGCTTGTGCTTTAGAGAGGTGCTCCCAAGGCTACACCATTATGTTGTGCCAGGTACACCCCTTGCATCCGAAGGTTGGGAGAGGTCTCAAGGAAGTATGCCGAAGGACCTGGATTGAGAAAGGGAAAATATCCCTACCTGAAGTACATGAGGTTCCCGAGAACTCTTCGTCACAAGACAAGAAGATCTTTAACTCCGCACCAGGCCTATTCGTCCTTATCGGACGTTTTGATTCTCAAGATGAGAGCTGACGCACCTCCGCATACGACGGAATGGTGTTACCGCCGCAGCATTGGTTTAGAGGCGCCCCAGCCCCTAAGGGCCAAGACAACCTCCCTCTCTTCTTGACCACTACGAATGGTCGGGCCCGCATTGTGCATCGGGTCGTATGCCGAGCGCAAAGGGCTAACAAGCCGAAATAAATCAGCCTGTTCTCCCACGTACTCCCTAGATAGAGAAGGCGTCTCTATCTCCCAGAGTATTGGGGCTTACCCAGCGTAGAAACTTACGGGAACGCCCTGGCCGCGGTTTTGTTTAAAGTGGAATTGTTAACCATACCCTAGATGAGCACCGCCTACGGTAAAATCTCTTATCGAGCTCAGCCTACACCTGCTATGCGCATTCAAGGGACGCCATAGGCTTAGCCTAGGCGGTCCGATCCTTCGCTTCCCCAAGGGTACCACGCCGGTCATACGCACAACAATGCAAAGCATACTCGAGTCAGCAACCGATTCACTCCCTGTTTCAGTTCGCTTACTCACGCATTCGAGGGACTATTCAGCATAATCATCACGTCCTCAACGTCTATACGCTGTCGTCCGGTCCACCGTCTCCAGTGAGGCCGGGGGTAATAACGCTAACCAAACGCAAGCTTCACGAAGGTCACAAATAGAAGACAGCCTCTGTCTAAGTTCCCGACAGGGGCGTCACGACGTACCACCACGAATCCATTCCCAGGGTAACTAGGACTGAATTTGGAACTTTTCAGTTACCCAGTGGTACAGACGGCCATACACCCTCCCCCGTCTATGAAGACAGGATCTGGTGCACTGGCCCTCGTGTGACTCTGCTAAGGCACATGCCGCCCATGCCGACCCTAGGCCGACATGAGTACAGCTTGTGCTTTAGAGAGGTAGCCACGCCCTCTGGGCTACACCTTTATTTTGTGCCCGGATACCCCCCTTGCAACCAAGGGTTGGGAGGGGACACAGGATAGAATGAAGGAACCCGGATTGAGAAAAGGGCCTTGGATGAGAACCCGAGGTGAGCCGTTTCGGGGTCTCGAGCCTCAAACCACACTATACCACCCGTCATCGCCGTAGTTCCACACATAGTGGGCTACGACTCCCAGCTGCCTGAAGTACAAACGAGAGGCTAGTATTTTAGGATATTAACGTGGTACACATTTAAAGCAGAGAATCACAAACCAGATCGAGACGCTCAAATGGCCGCAGTTTAAAAAAAGATTTTCACTTACCTCGATTGCTAGGATTGCTACTTTAACATTTTCAATAAGGTTTTGGCATTATGTTCGTCGTGTAACGGAGTTTAAACACACACACACACACACACACACACACACACACACACACACACACACACACACACACACACACACCCCGACACAAACACATGTGCCATCAAGATTAAATAATACAGCCATAATAATTTATTTACCGTTTTCAGTTGTGGTAAGGTTTTGGTCTGGGTGTAATTTTAACCATCTTGACCTGGTTATACGCTTGTCAGAAATAAAAGAATGTAAAAACATCGTCTTTTTGTTTAATTGGTTCGTTTAATTTTTGTGTTCTTAACGGGATCAATGATGTCCTGTTAATTTGTGTGTTCATACTCTTCCATGCTCAATAAAACCGTTGTATTGAGATTCTGCTTACTTTTTTGAAAACGGATAAATCGTTTAGTGTTTTTGTTCCACTTCCAAATGGCCCCAAGCTGTGCACCTAAATTTGAATTTATATTTACGATCTTGCGATTATTTTATTCATAGCTTACTAGAGTTTTACAACTCATGATCGAGAATATAAAATGTAAAAGAAAATATACAATTTAAAATGCAATATCTTTAGAAAAACCGTGCCTCGTTATTAACGTCATTGTAGAATTGAGTCGACTTGAACATGAAGTAAATCCGGTAAATTTTTGCGTCTGGGACTTTTTGTTGAGGGTTTAGTCTAGTCACAAAGACCCAACAATAAAGAGCACACAAAAGATCACTGATTTAAACGAAACAATATGTACATGACGGATAAAAGGCAGGCCATTATCTGTAAGAGTTGTTTTTTTTATTAGAATTTCAAACCATTGTTATTAGAATATGCTTTTATAGGAGCCAGTAGAAATCTAATAAAAAAATTATAGTATATTATATACAAAATTCATGCAGTTTTAGGCAGAAGATATTTTACAGCAGACATTGCTCGACAGGATTCGTATTTTTGTGTAGATATTACATCTTTACCATCATTTTTAAAATGTTTCCTTAAATGCACTGAATACACTGTAGAGATAGGAAACATTTGTTTTCCTTTTTATAACGGTCTGTACGAAAATATACTAATCTTTAGTGATAGTGTGAAAGAATTTTTCCTGGATGTTTGAGAAAAAGACAGGCCTAAGAAAGACAAACTGATTACAAATAAAATTTTATTATTGTAAAATTAAGGTTGTATTCCAATGTGGGTGGGGTTAATTTTTTTCTTCTAAACGTTCATGAAAGGTTTTTTTAAAAATATAGAACGAATGAATTAAATATATATATATATTACAGATTAGCTTAGACTATATTAGGGATTGTCACCGTATAAGAGTTTAATTCAGAAAATATGACATTTTATAATAAAATTTGATCCCTTTGAATATTACTTGAAAATACATTATAGATTTTAAAAAAATCTCGGAATATATTTAATCTGCCGTTCCAAATAAACTTACAATTGATATAAGAGTTCGTTATATTGACATAAAAATCTAAATTATGAGCAAAAATATTTTGCCGGAAATTGACTGATTATTGACTAGCCACATGAAACGGAGACATTTTCGGTTTGGAATATAAGATGACTTATTTCACAACAGCAATAGTAACAACAATATACACATCACAGTTACGGTTCAAAACAAAAAATCAAATATTTGTTCACAACACCGTGTTACACATAGCTTACATTTTACCTCAATGAAAGTTCGCGCACTTGAACACAACGATATACAATCTAAAGAGTACAATTTTCAATTTGTTCTATTATTGATATTAACTTATGCTATCCGAATAAATAACACACTCAAAGGGTGTCATAAAGATATTGGCTACATCATTTCCTATATAGGTCGAAAATAAAGCCACAAAAATTACAGTTTGGGCTATTTTTTATTACAAATTTTGTAAATTTTGTAGTAAATTACTATTTATTTAATCTGTTCAAGGCATATTAAATAACTTAATTGACAACAATTGACTGTTTTGTTTTAAACCACAGAATCGTTTTAAGAAATTGCAATTAAAAATTTGTAATATGTAGTTTTATTTAATTGTAATAAATCATACCTATTTTTGTACAATTTTTTTAAATTTAAGGTTATTTGATGATAGCCAAGTACACATAAAAGGGTCGAAAGAATGAAAGTGACATCCTCATGATTTTACACAAATTGATGTCAGGGTCGTTTGTGCAAAATCACACTTTATCTTTGATCGGTTGATATGTCACGATATCATTTTAAAAGAAGTCCAGAGACTTTTTTTTCTTACAAATCTGAATTTGAAATTGGTCTGGATGAACCGAATATTACAGAAATCATATCAGTGTCAAAACACTGAGCAAGATGGCACTTAAAATGTACTAACTTAGAACAAAATATTTTTCGAAATTTTGCAATTCAAAGGATCCTCCATGGAACCTTTCAAAAGGAGCTTAGGGATTCGGGTCCCGTTTCGTTCCTTATTTACAAATACGCAATTGCGTAAGTATACGCGTAACAACCGTTCTCGCTCTGTTCTGCCACCTTGTCCCTCTTTTCAGGATGCCCGCAGCAAGTCCACCTGTAACAATAAAATTTTTTTAACATCCCAGAATCACAAGTCAAAACGATTTTTAAACAATATTGGATTTATATTTATTAAAAGCTTTGTTTCAGTGGACATTTTAATATATTCCCATAAAGAAATAAATCATTTGTTACATATTATTTACGTTCGGATAAGTCCAAATTCTTTTCTAGATACAAATGCAAAATTTGGTTTTAACTATCTTTTACAATAAGTGAATTGCCATACTCACCCCACCTCAAATCATTTCTTTCTTGAAAGTTTTGACATTACGTGTGACATTTTATAAATTTGTACGTAATTTAGTCAGCCTGCGAAACATACACACACACAAAAAAAAAACAACTTTTCCATAATATCTAGATACTATAATCTTTTTACATTCATTAAATTAAAAATAATGAAAATCAGTTTGATTTCATCGTTCCTGAACTAACTTGTAGAGAGAGTTAATTGGTTCCTTTGAAATTAATTTATTTTTTCTTTCAAAACGACACGCAAGAATGGCACAATTACGCAGAAAACGAACACTGAGCCCTGAAGATGATCTCAACAATGATCGAAACGTTGGCACGATAATGAAAATGTTTTTCTGAAACCTACGTCACACCAGACCGCATCTCACGATTTCCGAATAATCACTAATTTCTTTGTTGAAACAATAAATTTGAGTAAAAACATAATAATTATTTTTTCCTAAAACTCGATGATATAAAATTATATCGGATCTATACCAGGCACTGGTCTCACACTTTGATAGTATTCTAAGAAATGGATCGTTGTCTTGGCGTTTTCAAAACTAATCACAAACTCAAATACGATTTTTCTATTTTTTGATGATTAACGATAATCTTTAAAGAGACATTAGTAATCTGAAGGAATATTGCCACAGACAATGAGGAATATACACCCAAGAAAAAACTACTTTTCCATAATAACTATCTTATGGAAATCTTTGTACATTCATTAGATTAAAAATAATGAAAATCAATTTGATTTCATCCTTTCCTGATCTAACTTGTAGAATGATTCACTAGTTTCGTGGTCCGCTTGACCAATTATTATCTTTCAAATTAAGGTTTTTAGTTGAGATAAAAAAGTCAGTGTCACGAGCGGGATTCGAACGCCACGATCTTCGGCTAGATACGCCGCTGCTCTTCCACTTAAGCCATCATCCACTCAGACACTAACTTCCCAACTCAACACCACCTTTTGAATTTTCCCTCCGTTTTGACATTTTTCAAATGTCGTGCAATCAATTTGATTCTCGGCGACAAATGAAATTCCACGGAGAGCTTTAGTGAAGGTATACTTCATTTTTATTTATTAAATGAATGAGTGAACTTGTAGAATGAGTTAATCGGTTTCTTTGAAATTTATTTCTTTGATGAAACAATAAATTTGAGTAAAAACGTAATTATTTTTCTTAAAAGCATAGTTTTAATGCGAGAAGATCTCGCCCGGGCAGATGCACTACGATGGACATAGTGTCCGTTAGAGTCCAAGTAGTGGGTCTGCCACACCACACTCTACCATGCACGATAGTTTAAAGCGGTTTAAGGCCACCGGAATCTCGATCGTTTTATTGTTCTTACCGCAATACGGAACCGTCATTAAACGTCACCCGTCAACTTGAACTCAGATGAGTACCGGCTTGGTTTGTAACAATCAAATGACCAAGACCGTGGTTGGAGAACGCTTTGCTTTCTGAGCCTTGCGTGAGTCACAGCCTCTCCAGACAGTCAGTTATTGTATAAGGTCAAATCAACGTAGATGCCCGTTCCGAACTCATATCCGAATGGATCTTTGGAGGTACTTTGCGGAAATTCTTCTGGAAGCTGTGGCCCCACTAAACTTCGTGTTGGAGCATGATAATGTTCAACCTCATGTAGCTCGAGTTGCCACTCATGACTTGAAGAATGAAGGGGTTACCGCAATGAATTGATCAACACGTTCTCCTGACATGAATCGTATAGAACATTCAACAAGCGAAGAACTGCTTGAAACCGCTCAGTTGAAGAATGGGTTACTTTTGATGATCGTTTGTTTTGTCGACTCCTAGGAGACTTAATGAGTTTCCGACGTTTTGGTGAATTTTCTTTCAAACCATCATAGTTAAATTGAATAATGTATTCGTAATTAAATTAAATGTATGGAAATTGATTTGTTCGAATAAATGTTTCTTTGTTAAAAAAATTATATATTAGTTTACAATTTACTTAAAAGTTATTGCCATTAATCAATGTTCTGTTTTATTGATAGATTGCTTGACTATCATTCCTTCTTTTCGAAAAACATTTCTTTGTGTGTTTGGGATATGGTTTCTGGTCAGCGTCAGGTAGAGAAAGAAGTAGACCGTGATCATTTGCCAAGCTTTCGGCCTTTATAAGATCATCATCAGAGCCTGAATAAGAGGTCTCGAAGTACATGAGCTTGGTTAAGTTGAAATTAAGACAAGTTTTTTTCAGTTTTTTCTATAATTGATGTAAACTAGATTAAACCAACAATTTCAGTAGTAAAATAGGTCGTTTTTTAAAAGGATTACCAAAGATAGTGGTCTTCCCAAAATAAAGGAAATATTATGCGTAGGAGCTAATTCTACTCGCACAGTTCCAATCCACTGCCTCTACAAGTCAAGAAGCCTTGATAATCCTTTTAAAAAACGATCTATTTTACTATTGGAATTGTTTGTTTAATCTAGTTTTTTACATCAATTATAGAAAAAACTGAAAAAAACTTGTCTTAATTTCAACTTAACCAACCTCATGTACTTCGAGATCTGGTAGTCGACGTCGTCGGGTTTTTTTCGTCATTCTGTAATGTTAAAATGAGAAATAGGATGCTGTAAGTTAAAACAAACCAAAAAACTTGTAATTAATGTAACGTTGTAATATTTATTCAGGCCCTGTTAATGGTCTTATAAAGGCTGATCACAGAGTCTACTTCTTTCTCTACCTGACCATAAACCAGATCCCAAACACATTAATCGCCGTGGTCGATTTCTTCTTCATCAACATTGCTTTGTTTGTCGTGTAGGTTTTACTCTGCATTCATTTTAACTCGAAATACCAACCTCTCTGGTATGCAGAGAGAATAGCCAATTGAAATCTGCCAAATTTTGATGCGTTAGGATTGATTGTGCTCCACGGGTTACATTTCTCTGAATATATTTTGGGGAACTGCTAAAAAAAAACAAAAAAACTTCACTTCATACGCTAATCACAAATATAAAAACGGTTTGTAGAATTTACATTACGTGCTACAAAATATCGACTTTTATATTGACTGGACTTACAATCTGAAGGAATATCGTGTAGAAAAGTTGTTCAGTCCCGGTTCAACAATTTTCTCTTTATCTAAGGAAATTTGATTCGTCATGGGGAACACGAATGTATCTGAACTAATAAAGGCTGAATGTCTCATTAGAATTTAATCGATGGAGTTTGAAACACGAAATGAAGCGAATATTCGTTACAAATCATTTGGTAGTAAACGATTCTGAAATCCTACGAATTTTATCATTACACACTTGGAAAACTAAACTTGTTGCAACAATCAAACCTGTTTAAGTAAAAATCAATTTTTGTATGGTTTTTACATTTGGTTTATTCTATCTAAGCCCACTGGAATATTTGTTTTTTTGGTTATTTCGAATGAAAAGTTCATGAAAACTTTATAACAAACATCAGGTGAAAAGGCTTGCTGTCAATGAGATACTGGAACTATTCCGCATCGCAAATGATGGCCAAACACTTCGAACAATTATTGAAAATAAATTACAATTAATTAAGGTTTTTAGTTGAGATAAAAAAGTCAATGGCACGAGCGGGATTCGAACCCACGATCTTCGGCTAAATACGCCGCTGCTCTACCACATGAGCTATCGTGACATCGATCCACTCGGACACAAACTTCCCATCTCAATCCCACCTTTTGAATTTTGATTGAATGAATTGAAAAATGGCAAAAAGGAAGGAAAACTCAAAAGGTGGGATTGAGATGGGAAGTTGGTGTCCGAGTGGATCGAGGTCACGATAGCTCAAATGGTAGAGCAGCGGCGTATCTAGCCGAGGATCGTGGGTTCGAATCCCGCTCGTTCCATTGACTTTTATCTCAACTAAAAACCTTAATTAATTGTAATATATTAATTGGTCAAGCGGACTACGAAATTAGTGAATGAAATGAATTGAAAATAAAATTAATCATATTCACTACAGGTTTCTTCATAGAAATCCATGTTGTGGCCGACAAATTAACCAAGGAATAAATAAATGTAATTATTGAATTGGCTGATTAAGTCTACAAAATTAATTAGAAATTAAACGAAATATGATACAGAAAGAAAAGTGTGGTTGACAGGCCTGCTATGAAAAGAGCCATGTGAACCAAGGTATCATGTATATTTGTTTTATGATGATAAGGTAAAAATGTTAATTTATCTACGCTATTGTCAGTTAAGTAAAAATCATACGGAATAATCAGATAATCTGAAAAGGGAACAAAAATTTACTGGATAGGAGAAATAATCTGTAAAGGACAAAACCTAATACCCAGGCGGGAAACTAATTAAGAAATTACTTCCACTTGGAAAAGTTAAACAAGGAACCGGGAAAAAAAGTTCAGTAATGAAACCTGAACCTTTTGTACAGGCCGTTAACATTAATTCAGTTAAGACAATTCCATCTCGGGATCAATTGAATTATTAAAGTCAAATTCTAAAGATGAATTTAAAAAAAGTAACTTTTCGATGCTTTTAGACGAAACATTTTACAGCATTTCGGTAGTATAATAAGAAAGAAAATATTAAAATTAACTTATATTTTACAATTGAAAAGTAAACATTTACAAGAATTGGAAATTGTTGAGAATACCAAGGGATTTAAGTATTTATTTATTTTCACAAAGGCTCTTGAGGTATTTCTATAAGCTCTAAAGCGTTCCGCTTGAACGTTACTTCAAAATTCACCCTTTTATAAATAATACGTCAACCCTGG